TCCACCGCAGGTAATTGGGGAGGCTTAGCCACTGGGCCCTACAGGACACCTAGCACACAAAGCCACTCTACCAACACAGGGAAGCATAAAAAATGAGGAGACAAAGAAACAGGTCACAAATGACAGAAATGGAGGAAAGCAAACTACTGGATATAGAATTCAAATCCATGGTTGTAAGGTTTTTCAAGAATTTTCTGGAAACCACTGATAAATTTAGTGAGACCCCAGAGGATATGAAAACAGACCAACTAGAAATTAAGCACACACTGACTGAAATAAAGAATAATATACAGAGATCCAACAGCAGACAAGAGGATCCCAAGAATCAAGTCAAAGATTTGAAATACAAAGAAACCAACTCAGATAATTCTAGGCAGAGAAAAATAAGCAATGAAACTAACCCCAAATTGTTCTAATAACACAGCTCCTACCTATATCTGTCCAGAAGACAACAGGTATAACAAATATACTTTGATTACAGTTTTTTTAAAATAGTCTAATAGAGTGGAATCCTGTACAATTACATATTTTTTTCTGTATTATTATTCAGATGAAAATGCAAATATGGGGAATGAAACTTAATAGACAATAAAACCAGAATACAGATAATACTTTTGGCACTTGCCAACTTTTAAAAACTTGTTGATGGTTATGATTTCTTTGTTCATTTTGAATGTTCACTTTTGAGTTAGTATTTTTATGTTATTTCACTGAAAGAAACACTCCGAATATAAACTCAGGACCCTTGCAATCCCCCACAGAGCCACCACAAAGAAAAACAACACACAACTGTAAGTGGGAGAATATGCCACAAAATACTAGTGACTATCTCTTGATTGGGAAAATAAGAGATTTATGCACACAGTTATTGATAATGAGGAAGGGTAAATTAATAATAAGAGTTTTCCAAAAAGCCACAAAGGAAAAGGCAGTCTTAGCATGGAAAATAAGAGATTTATGCACACAGTTATTGATAATGAGGAAGGGTAAATTAATAATAAGAGTTTTCCAAAAAGCCACAAAGGAAAAAGCAGTCTTAGCATAAAATTAAAACAACAAGAAAAACCTTATTGCCTTTTCAAAGTACCTCTGAGAGACAGTCTGCAGACCTGTCAGCCTGCTGTTACCGGCTCTCAGTCAGCCCTGCAGCTGTGTTCGCTGTGGGGTCAGGGAACACAAGCCCCATGAGGAGGAGGTGCTAGTCAGGTGTTTCCAAGCTGGGTGTGGGATAAGGAGGTCCTCCCACCCTGGCTGATCTCATTCCTTTGGGAGGAGGGGAAAGGGGTGAAACAACAGCACAACTTCCCAGAAAAGGATGTGTCCTTTCGATTTTGGTTCTTAACCACACTGTTTCACTGTAATATCCGGCTTGATTTTCAGCTACTAAAGAGAACAGGGAGCACCCTGGGGAGCCAGACACAGAAGGAGGAAGGTGAGAGGAGAGAATTTATCCGCTGTCTGCAGCTTAGGAGACAGGTAAGTTAGCTCAGAGACTTGGATTTCCATGCACATGTTCATTAACTAACATCAACAATAACAATTCGTGCTCGCAGCACACCTGGCACTGGAGGCGAAGGCTCTTCACTGTCAGCCTTGGAGGCAGCTGGCTGATGGTGGGGGCAGAGGAGGGGTGGCTGTTGGGATTATAAACTGGAGGCAGCTCAGCCCCTCTGTTTGGATGGAAGGCTGCTGCAGGGCAGTGGTCACAGCTTGTTCCTGGGATGGGCTGCTTCCTCTTGGGCACCCTCCCAGGCTGCACAAAGAGCCCTGCCTGGGAACAGGAGGAGTGCATCCTCCATCACCTGCTTGAAGGGGCTGAAATCCTTGCTGTGACTGAGGAACCAAACCTGTCCTTTGCTAAGAAGCGCTGGTTACAGTCACTTCCTCCATCTTTCCCCTCCCCCTCTTACACATTTCCCTGATGTCTGTGGGACATTGAAAAAACAAAGACATTGTCTTTAACCATGCAATTTAAATATTAAAACATTATTGTATGAGCTGTATTTAGTATTCCAAAGATTCTATAAAGTGGTATTAGATGAAATACTTCATTCTCACATATTTTAATCAACTATTAAAAATAACTATAAGGTCTAAGCTGGGTTTTTATCTGCAGTTTCCAAATGTTTAGACCCTACCAAAAAATTACATCAATTATTGTTTTTAGGTTCAGTTGTTTTGCTGAGTCCTCTGTAAGATGAAAACAAAATTTCTCAGCTTTTCTTTTGAAACTTCTGTAAAGTAGCAACAGAGAAGTGGGGGGAGGAGAGGGAGCAAGGAGGAGTGAGAAGGACCTGGGAGTTGTTCTGTGACACACTGACCTGAGGAGCTGTGGGACAGAAGTGGGAATTCAACTTTCTTTTGCAAGCAACTTGGTCCTGAGCTTAAACCTCTCAATTTCTGACTCAAAATGGACTGAGGAATGGAGAGGTAGGGACACCTGTAGCCTGGTAGCCTGGACTGCAAGGCTCAGTTGCTGGCTTTAGTTTCCTTATTAGGAGCAGTGTAGTTGTGATGTGACAGCCAAGCAGGGACTTCACATAACTAGGACAGCAGCAAGTATAGCAGACAATGTGGGTGCATGGAGAGCTGAGAGATTAGGGTCTTCTCTTGGCTGCTTAATGGGATGGGGTGGGGCATGGAGGCAGCTTCTTCATGCATGAGCTCATTGTTCCTCGTTGTAATGTGCACTAGGTTGGACTTACGGTCCTATTCTAATTCCACATTAGATTCACTGCTTACACAACATTTTAAATTTAATTTTTTTTAATTAATTTTTTTTCTCAAGAGCAGACTTGGCTCAGAGAGCTCTAGTTTGCCTTTATTGAATGGAAAAAGAGACAGAAGAGAACAAAAAGATTGAAAGAGAGAAAGAAAAAAAGAAAGGAAGGAAGAGAAAGAAAGGAAGAAAGAAAGAGAGAGACAGAGAGATGAGAGAGAGAGAGAGAGAAAGAAAGAAAGAAAAAGAAAGAACTGAATATAGAATATGTTCATTTTATCATGCCTGGAGAAATGAGACAGTAATATTATTTGTCTCTGTTGTTTTCCTTGAAAGAAAGAAAGATAGAAAGAAAGAAAGAAAGAAAGAAAGAAAGAAAGAAAGAAAGAAAGAAAGAAAGAAAGAGAGAAAGAAAGAGAGAAAGAAAAGGGGCTAGACACAGATGGGCTGCATTATGATTGTGGCCTCATCCCCAGCTCCCAGTCAGATTCTTAAAAGTTGGGAAAGGAGCATGCTGTCCCCTGACAAGGCTATAATTCACTGCTCAGGCTCAAATTTGCTTAGGACACTGCCCGGCTCAGCTTCATTCTTGGTATGTTCTGTAAATTAGGATGGACCAGCACAGTACTTCCTGGAATATAAGAAGTACTTTCTCCGTCCTAACAAAGTCCTAGGTCAGACATGTCCAGGAATAATGCACACCCACTTTATATTTTCACATGGATATTTTTAACAGGACATGGAGAATGCAGAATTTGTGAGGTCTTCTTGATATTCTTTATCGACTGTTTTATTAATACATGCTTTTTATTAGTTCATAGTATCAGTCTATTTTTAAATTTTGATGCACATTTTATTTTGAAAAACAAAATAAATATCACATGACTCAGTTTCTCTGAACAGGGGATGACTGTTAAACTTTGTGGCCAAAAGGATTTTGAAGACTTCTTAAAAAGGAGAAAAATCAAAAGCTGTTTCTCTTCTGGAACCCCAAACTCCTTCAGTCACTTCAGTATCATAAATGTAGCCATAGATATTACATTTTATTGGTCTGTCACTTGTCAAACCAAGTTATCCACCTAAAACCTCAGACTGTGATGAATACTAATCACACTCGTCACTAGTTTTACAGCTGTTCTCAATAACTAGGACCAGGAGACAGTGAGATGCATTGTGTCAGTCTTGACTTTCCTTACAGCTACTAGGGTTCAGGAATCTGGAGAAGGGCTGTGCATAAATGAATAAAGAGACTAGAGAAGAAATTAGAATTTGTAAGGTATTTTTGGGAAAGCCAGTGGGAAACTTAGTTCTAGTGACTAAGCTCCCGAATCTCCAGACCCAGAGCTTTTTACTTCCACATTTGCCCTATAGCAAAGCAGATATACATATCAAAGGTAAGGTTTGGTAAACAGTAAAGGATTATCAGGTTAGGGGAAATGCATACAGCTGTTCAGCGGGAGGTAATAACATGCAGATTTTCAGCCCTGCTGAAGCCCCAAATTCCATCAGCCCTCTGATGAACTTCTTGCATAATTAAGAGCTGCTGGCTGGAATTAGCCTTCAGCAATGCATGAAACCTGTGGCTTAAAATTTCTTGGCTGTGTCCTCAGATTGCTCTGGTCCCAAACAGGTTCTTCCTCAACATCCTTTTAGCAGCTGGTTAAACCTTAAGTTTGGGGAGAGGATGTTCACATGAGGTGATGGATTTGCTTCTCAGTAGTGACCCTGGCATAGGGTAAAGCCACTCGACTGCATTACAAGATGTGACTGCCTAGTGCAGCGGTAACATTCAATCTAAGATCCTCACAGCATTGGGAACACGTTGGCCCTTCCAGAGATTCACTATAAGTATAGAACCAAAAATAGATGAATTTTTCACTGTAGGGCTTGGCCTATGCTACTGTGCCAGAAGGAAAGTAGAACATGCACACTGTCTTAATTGATGGGTGCTTCACATGACTCTGCTTCAGAGAATAGCATTGTAAGCTTATTTCCACTGGGATTTCTTCTAGGTTGGCAGGTTGCCATGGCATCTAGACCCAACATGATGGCCCCCATTTGCCTGGTGGAAAATAACAATGAGCAGCTGTCAGTGAATCAGGAAGCTCTAGAGATTCTTGACCAGATTTCTCAGCCAGTGGTGGTCGTGGCCATTGCAGGACTATATCGTACTGGCAAATCCTACTTGATGAATCGGCTTTCAGGACAGAATCACGGTGAGTGGTGTCTTAGGCAGAGGACAGTTCTTTGACTTTAGCTGTATCAGAGTTTCTTAGTTTTCTTCCCTAGTCACATGAAGAACAAAATTCCTTTCAATAAACCAATCTACTAATTCTAATTTTTACTAATAAATTACTACCTTAATGGTATTATCTTAGGTCGAGGCCAATTGTTTTTACTCTAACTATATGACAGCTTATTAGTTTTCTTCCCTGGTTACCTGAATTGAGAACTACACACCTCTCAACAAAACAAACTTCTAAGTTTAATTATCCTCACTAAATTATTACTTTAATATATTCTATTTCCATATTCAGGTTTTACTCCTGTTAAGGAAAACCCCTCCTAGTAATGCCTAGTCCTTCTTTTACCTGCGCCAACACTAGGGTCTTGAAATTGTGCCTCCTCTCTTGCTCATAACATGTTTTTCTCTCTATATAGAATTTTGCTTTTCCCATGACTATATAAAGATAATTGCATATCTATCACCATCTTTAAAGATTTTTGTACGTTCACATCCCATTGTTGTTAACAACCTCTCCCACACCATTTGTCATTTTATCACTTTGACTGGAAAAATATTATCTGAATTTCTTTTTCGTTAGATGTCTCTCTTCTATCCACTTCTATTCGGCCTTTACTGGACCATTCTTAAAAATGCTCTTATTATGGTATTCAGTGACCTTTATTATATCTGATTCATGGATGCACTTCACCTTGATTTTGAGCTCTTGCTGGATATCATTTTCACAGTTAACATTCATCTCCTTCTTCAAATAGATGACACACAAAGTAAAGCATTCTTACAAAATAGAGAATGCACCATCATATTCTGAGGTACTTCCATTCCAAAAAGTCTGATTTTGTAGCCCCTTGGCTGCTTAGATTGTCTGTTGTCATTGTGACCTGGGTCTCCCCTTCCTTTATAGGTTTCCCTCTGGGCTCTACGGTGCAGTCTGAAACCAAGGGCATCTGGATGTGGTGTGTGCCTCACCTCTGTAAGCCTGATTGCACTCTGGTCCTTCTGGACACTGAGGGCCTGGGCGATGTGGAAAAGGTAAGGCAGAGGGTCACAGATAAAATGTTTTCAACCTGGATAGTCTCATAATCAACTCCTTAACTGCTTGATCTATTTGTGAAATCTAGAAATCTATATATCAGCAAATTCTTGGTTGTTTGACTTTTATTTCTAGGTAAGGTGTCATGGTACATTGAGTAAATTTTCTTTTATTTCTCTGCACTCGTGAAAACTTTTATTCAATTTAGTAAACAATTGTTGAGCACCATATTCCCAGGTCTCTAGGTTAGTACTGTAGATACTAGTGACCCATGTAAAAACCCTGCCCTCAAAGAGTCTTTGGTCCTATGGTGAAGTTCACCAAGTACTCACCAAGCATTCTGGAAGACTTTGAGACAACTCTGAATGAAATGGTTCAATAAAAGCATGTGGTTGTCCTGCAACATTTTAAGATGGGTTTTTGATACTTTAGTTTTCTACTAAAGGGTAAAATGAATGATTTCTCCTTTTCTGCTTTAGTTTGAGACTTGCTGGGAGCTGGTCCATCCTTGCTGTTTCAAGGGACCTGGCATATATGGCATACTGTTCTTAATATATTTGCTCACCTTCTTGGCACTATGTGTTTTAACCAAGGTCACCTCT